TTTCATTGCAGTGAGAACGTGAGATGGAGAATAGGTATGCAAAATGAAGGTGAAGATGAGCGGCGCCCGGCAGCAAATGACCTGACAGACTATGTATGCATTATGCATTGGGGCGGGGTGCCAATGGGTACCAATGGGGGCGCGAGGTGACAGAGAAATCAATCTTAGCACGAGCAGAAACGGGAAAGGCAAAATGATTCACAAAAGGTAATAATATGGAGTACGAGTAGTTACGGATCAGAGTCCTGAGAGAGTGGCCAGTGCTGCCCAGTGCCAGTGGCGCAGTGACCATAGGTAAGTATTTAAGTATAATTGTGCTGGGGCCCGTGGAGCCTGGCTCGTCGCTCCTCTCTTGGGAGTTGGAGCAGCTTGTTCGGAAAGAAAAATACTGGATAGTTTGACAGACAACACTCTGCGAGACCAAGCAGCTCTAGCATGTGAGATAGAGTTTCGTCAATCCCACGACCATCAATGTCTACTGTGTACGTACAACGGAGTGGCAATCACTGCAAGATGATAACAACGTCCCTCTGCATCGTATCAGTCGGGAACTTGGCGGTCGACTTGACCTGTTTCTCACACGCATCTTGGCCATCTCGCCGTCTCGCCGCAGAGAGCAAGAAGAGGAACAGCCACAGCGGGGAGTCATTCAGCATTGAGCCAATGACTCCAAGAAGCCCTTCCTTGCGCAAACGGCCGCTGGCATGTGCCCGTTATTGGCTTTGGTCACATTTTCTTTTTGTTGATTCGCAACATGTGAAATGTATCGAGATCTACCGAATTCACCTCCTCGTCGCTTTTCCGCCTTCCCATCCTCATTTAACTTCACACGCGACTACATTGAGCCCTATCTACCGAGTACTCGGTATTTATCTATCTATGGCCCGGTGCCCAGATCGACTAAAAGAGTTGCCGGCGCACATCTCTTCCTAAAACTTCCAGGTGGCTGGGAACCTGATAATGGAAACTTCCTTCCACGGCGTTCGATGTCTTCAGCAGCAACTCTGGGGAGTAGTCCGTACTACAACCGCAACAGGTAAATACCCTCACACAACGCCTGCTAAAGATGAGTTGCAGAAGGCTTCGGGGCCCTCCCAGCCCAGCAGGGGTGCTTAGGCTGGTGTCCCTACCGTAGGTCCCGTAGGTAGTCCCGCCGGACGTCCGGGTGGGGTCCCTAGGGCCTCCTCGGTACATGCACATCACTACTGTACCTACTAGTAGTTAAAATTTCTGTCCTGCCACAATTGTTCAGCACCCCCACTCACCTATTGGCCCACTCGCCCATTCACACTCCGCTTCACATTTTCCCAGCCCTGTGGCCAGACCATTACGGAGTCCCATGGGAGTTTTTGTGCCACCACCATCTGCCGCCAAACCTTACCAATTTGGAGGAGCCCAAAAAAAAAATTATCTCGATCCGATGATTTCATGTTACACTGCCCAAGACCCAAGTGTGTCGAAGCTTCTTTGCCCTTTCGCAGCCTTGCGCACATGGAGCGCCACTGTTAACGGGTTGCAGTGCTGCGTGCCATCTCTATTGTCGCTGCTCTTGACAGCCACAACCCAATGGCTGATTCTGGTGCGCTCGTCACCGCGCTGTCGACTTCCACCCACGCCTTCCTGCAGCCTTCCTCTTCTCTCCACTCCGAGGCTTTGGCCTCTGTAAAATGCATTCTGGACCCTTTGGCTGCCGACGTCGCAGCTGCGCAAAAGTTGAGGCGGGACCAGAACAGGAAGAAGAGAAAACGGAGTGATATTGAGCGGGAAAACGAGGTCTTGCAGTTGCGTCAAGTTTACACAAATGGCTTCGGGGTAAAACAAGTGTGGGAACAAGCGAAAAGGATCCTAGATGCCACTTGTACCGAGACAGAGAAGCATATCGCCGTCCACAGATCCCGACTGCACTCAAACTCAGACAAGCAAATTGCCAGAAATAGCCACCAGACGGATGAGGTCGACGCTTCGGATGCTTGGGAAGATGAGGATGAGGATGAGATGCCGGAGTCAGGGGCTGAAGATATGCAGGATAACCTCCTAGAAGATGAATTTGTCGACGAGAAGGATGGTGCAGAAGACGCAGGTGATCTCGAGGACATTGACGAGGTCGAAATGGATGCCTCTTCTTCCGGGACCGACCAACAGGATCCCGGAACATATCTGCAAGATCCGAACGGCCTCAATGATGGCTTCTTTTCTATCGACGACTTCAACAGACAGACTCAATTTCTCGAGCAGCAAGATGCACGGGGCGAAGACGACAACCCCAGCGATGAGGACGAGATTGATTGGGATGCAGACCCCTTGACTATGCCTTTCCACAAACCGAAGGCGAATCCTGCTAGCCAGGACAAGAAAGGGAAAGGCATCTCGGATCGCGAAGAAGAATCAGGCGAAGAAGAAGACGGTCCAACCTTTGGAGATGCCGACCTCAATGCCGATGATACCGACGAAGATATGATGAGCCAGGACGAGGGAGCTCTCAATGACCGTGTCGACGACCTCCCAAATACCAATGAGATTCGTTACGCCGACTTTTTTGCACCTCCACCCAAGAAATTATCAAAGACAACGCGGATGCGAGCACTACCGAAAACGCAACCGACCACGCAACCCAACCCGCCCGATGTAGACTTCGAGATCGACGTGCAGCGAGCAATCTCCGATGTTCGACGTGACCTGCTTGAGTCGGAGGAAGAAGAACCTGACTTGGAATCTGGAAGTGATATGGAGGGCGTGAGGCGGTCAAGTCAGAACATGTCTACACATGAGAAGCAGCGAGCCGCCATCACCGCTGAGATCCGGCGCCTAGAAGCGGCCAACGTTGCAAAAAGAGACTGGACGCTCTCTGGCGAGGCACGCGCTGCAGACCGCCCGCTTAATTCCTTGATCGAAGAAGACTTGGAGTTCGAGCGAGTGGGTAAACCCGTACCCGTAGTCACCGCCGAGGTCTCCAAGGACATTGAACAGTTGATCAAACGACGCATCCTGGCTCGGGAGTTTGATGAGGTGATTCGCCGCCACCCCGATAGTTTGGGCGCCGCCGCCGACACGCGCAGAGGCCGGGTTGATGTTGACGACACAAAGCCCCAGTCCGGCCTTGCAGAAATTTATGAGCAAGACCATCTCCGTGCTACAGATCCGGGATACGTCGACAAGAGATCAGCAGCGACGAAGAAACAGCATGAAGAGATCTCAAGGCTGTGGAAAGAGGTGTCAAGTCAGTTGGATCTGCTCAGCAATCTCCATTTCAAACCCAAACGAGTCGAAGTAGAGATCAAAGCAGTGGAAGATAAACCCACGATTAGCATGGAGGATGCAAGGCCTGTTGGAATGGGTGTCAATGCCGAGGAGAGCATGCTTGCGCCTCAGGAGGTGTATCGGCCTGGTCAAGATACGACGAAGAGGGGCAATATGGTTGTTCTCAAAGGCGGCGCGAGTGTGAGCAAGGACGAAATGACCCGAGAAGAGAAATTACGCAGGAGAAGGAGGGCGAAAGAGCGGGCGAAGAAGGCACAAGGAAATGCGCCGACTTTGAAAGTTGGCGCGAGTGCTAATGGTAGAGATGACGACTCTAGGAAGTCAAAGGCCAAATCTCGAGAGCGAGAGAAGGCGGACATCTTGTCTGAGCTGCGCAAAGGCGGCGTCAAGGTTGTGGGAAAAAAGGGAGAATTGCAGGACTTGAGCGGAAAGAAAGGGAACAAGGGAGGCGTCTCTGCGGGTGCATTGGCTGGAGGGGCGCTGAAGTTATAGTTTGTACATTGTCTTCATGCGTGAGCTGAGCGAGATGTTGCTTCGAAGCCCTCGTTGTCAACCATTATGATATCAAGCATGTTATCCCATTGGCAAAACCCTCATTGATTTGGCTCCCACCCACTTCCAAAATTGAATCCGGGTCATGTTCGGCAAAGCAAACCGAACATTGCTTCAGAATCCACGGCACAACGTCGATCGTAGTTTCTCAGCATCGACAACGGCGCAAGGTCCCCTCTCTAACCTTCTGTCCTTGGTTTGATCCGGGCGCGATCTTGACAACGTCTTTCACTTGAAGATGGGCTTAGAAGAGCAGAAGGAGGAGCGGGAAGTCCTCGAGTCGATTTTCCCAGACGAGATCACAGGTTCGCAAAACTCAATTGTCATTCACAGAGGATACCCCCACTCCTACTCCTCCTCCTAGTCCATATACATACATGTGGTGAACAGAAATCCCTGACAGCTGTGTTTCCGCTTTGGCAGACCTCTCGGACTCATCCTACCGGATAGCCATAACGCTGGACCTGCCCAGCGAGGGGCATGGCGATGAAGAGCCCGAACCGCCCGTCCTCCTGCTCAACGTGACCTACCCGGAAGCGTACCCGGACGTCGGTCCGCACCTGGACATCACGACACCGCCCAACGCGCCCAAACACCCGCAGCTGGACGTGGCCGAGGACAAGGCGCGGCTGCTTGACGCGCTGCAGCCGACGATCGAGGACTCGCTGGGCATGGCGATGGTGTTCACGCTGGTGACAACCCTCAAGGAGGCCGCCGAGGTGCTGGTCTCGGACCGCATCCGGCAGGCCGAGGAGGTCAAGGAGATCGCGGCTCGCCAGAAGGAGGAGGCCGAGAACCGCAAGTTCCACGGCGCCCTGGTCACCCGCGAGCGCTTCCTCGAGTGGCGCGACATGTTCCGTAGGGAGATGGAGGAGAAGGAGCGCAGGGCCCGGGAGGAAGAGGAAGCCGAGGACCGCAGGAAGAAGGGCGGCAAGCTCGAGGAGAAGAGGCTCACCGGGAAGCAGCTGTGGGAGAGAGGTCTGGCCGGGAAGGGTGACGAAGAGAACATTGATGGAGACGACGCCGTCTCTGCGGTGGAAAAACTCAAGGTTGACAGCTGAGGCATATCTTCCGGTATGGGAAGGGAAATGGGGGTCATTGCTTTATCACCTTAACCACTCAGAAGGGGGAAATTGGAAGATTATCAACGACACTATGACGACCCCCGAGGATACAACAGCTGGTTAATGCTAGCTTCCATTTCTATCTGCGCCGAACGACTGAAAATACCGTCTGCGAAAAGGATTCAGTTCATCAGCCGTACGACCAGTGCTGGCTTCCAATGCCTCTCGACTAGCAGACCCGTTAATGCCTCCCTCTGAATCGAGGGCCCAAGACACTCTCTCATACACCAGCAATCTTCGACTCCACTTGTTGAACCTCTGAACACACTCGTGTTTCAGTTCGAGATGCCGATGCGTCGGTATGGTGGTGACTTCCTCCTCGCCAGCTTCGTTTTCGTTTGCGCTCGGCATCCAGAACGCGACACGGCCCCCATCAACCAATGTTTTGGCTGCGAAGTCAAGGATATCGTCCAGCATACGCGCGAAGGAGTAAGGCTTTTTGGGTGGGATGTATCCCGGGAGCGTATGCGCCGGGACGCCGTTGATCAGTACCTCTGTCAACGGGCTGGACCTCTCAGAGTGACCAGTTTCTTCGTCGGTGAAATCTGCTGCCTCGATACGACTTTGCCTCAATCTCGTTCCCAGCACTTTCAATCCTTCACGCACGCCATATGGAGGATCACATATGATCCCATCTAGCCACCGGCCATCGCTTGACTTGAGTGCAGTCGCAGCACACCGAAACGGCGTATTCGTCAAGTCGGAAGTCAGACAATCCCCGAACAAATGTGTTAGACCATACTTTTGGAAATTGGCTCCTACACCCTGATCTAGACCGAAACCTTTCCCACGAAAACTCCGGCCATCGATATCTGATCCTAGAGCAATAGCTCCTAACTCTGCGGCGGCAACCATAAAGCCTCCGGTTCCCACAAACGGGTCCAGAAAGATCTTGCCGGGACTTGCCAGGGCGATGTTTGCTGTCAGCAACGCCAGTTCTGCATCCATCGAGGTTGTTGATATGTACGGCCGCTTCTTGAGGTCATGCTTCTCCCGTAGCCAGCGACATGAGTCGCCGATCTTGCGGGCCAGGAACACTTTCCTCAAACTCGTACCTGCTATTTTGTCGACAGCCTTGTTAGAGGGTAAAGCGCCCTCTTGGATTTCACTCGGTGAGGTCAGAGGAAGCCACTCTTCCAGGACCGCAAACTCCACTTGCGGGTCCTTCATCTTGATCTTGCCCTTGAAATCAAGGTATCGAAATGAGTTGATGATGTCTCTCTGTTGATCGATATCCCTCGTGCTGCCGTAACAGTCCACCGAGAACTTGAATGATACATGACGAAAACGATCCCATACATAGGAACTTCTTGATTTCACATCCGCGTGAAGTTCATCATAGTCCCGTCCCTGACCCCATATTTCGTAGATGCTCTTTGAGAGGATGGAACGGCTTTCGAAGTCCTTTATCCTCGCATCGACACTTTCAAAAGAGCCGCCATTCCCTACCACGGTAATATCTAGGGCAGGAAACCGCACCACACAGAACGGTGAGCTCTCGGCATAAGAAACAATCTCACAATGCAGTTGGGCAAGTGTCGAAAGTGCCTCAATCTCAGGCCGCCGGAAACTTTCATGCGCCTGAGCCAACCGGATGAGATATTGCATCGTCGAATCTAGTGTTGGGAGTAGATGTCGCCATGGAAAGGTGGCCAGAGAATTCTGCCTTGGTCGCTTCCGAAATAAACTGCGCCTGCTCTGAGAACAAGCCTTAGTCGGGGCGATGAAGGCAGAGATGATTTCAATTTGGTGATTGGACGAGAAACGACGAGGCAGAATTTTGAGTGACTCCAACTGTGGATTTTGAGTCGACCCCGTAATAATAGTCGATTGCCTGACTGAAAAAAGCGTCTCGTCATTTATCCCGTCATTTGATATTGAAGCGCGCCTTCTCGCCTTCTTGGCCTTGCTCTGTCATCCCTGGCTACAAGAATATTCTGTCAGACAAATCTCCAACCCAACCTCGGCGTCCTTTTTGCGCTCTCCTCTTGGCATATATCAGCCTTGGGCCTCAGCCCTCAACCCTATATATCCGACCGCCGTGTTCCTACTCATCTTTTGGTATATCATCATTGCATTCTTTCGTGCGCATACATAGAATATACCTTCTTTTTATAGATCTCTATATCTCTTTGCTGCGTCGATACGGCATTGTCCCTTCAAAAGAAGCCTCACAAAATGTCCGACGTCCCTCGCCTCATTCACGAATCGAGATCCCACCCTTCATCCGAGCCAGATCGGGACTTTTCTTCTTCCTGTCCGTTCTGCGCCATCGGAAGCACCTACAATGCAACGTCTCCCTTCGCCTCATCAGAGACGATGGCAAAGGCGCTCGACCCAGAGCAGCTCGACCCGCCGTCGTTTGTACTCTACTCAAGCGAGCACGTCATTGCTTTTCTGGATATTATGCCCTTGACGAGAGGGCATGTGTTGGTTGCACCTCGGAAGCATCGTGTCAAAGTCGGGGATTTGAGTCCCAGCGAAGGCGCAGAGGTATGTTTGACCACTGTCCTAGTGTCCCATTACCATTCATGTTCATTATCTGGGACCTGGATCTCATAAGATTCCTCTTTGGACCTCTTCTGGTCACTGATACACTTGTATTCCAACACCCTACAAGATCTGTAGAGCTAAGGTCATTTTCACATACACAGATCGGCAGAGTCCTGCCTCTACTCGCACGGTCTGTCATCAAGGCTGTCCTTCCAGATATACCGCACGAGAATGCCGACTATAACGTGGTGCAAAACAACGGTAAGCCGTTGCCACCATTTCACCATTTCACCATTCTTCTCCCTTGACCCTACACCCCCTGAGCCCCAAACTGAGCATTTCCATCACCCTCATCTAGGGCCCGGCGCCGCTCAAGTTGTCCCGCACGTGCACTTTCACATTGTTCCCCGCCCCCCTCTGAACTACACCCATCCCAAATTTAGCGCCACCACATCATCTTTGAAGAAGAAATATCCACCCAATCCTCAGCCTTCAGGCCGTCAAGCAGCGGCCATCCTGTTTGGAAGAGGAATGCGCGAGGATCTTGACTACGACGATGCCGCGGTGTTGGTCGAGAGTATGAGGGCGGCAATCAGAGAGGAGTGGGACAGAAGCTTTGGGAGGGAGGAAGGATCGGTCAATGCGGAGATTGTGAAGGAGATGAGAAGTTTGGATGTTGGTGCCAGCGCTGAAGGAAGCGGAAATGGAGGCCGAAACGGCAGGCGTTTGCCTTGGAAGGTCTGAGACGATCAGCTCTGGCCAGCTCTTTTCCTGTGACGATGGCCCCTTGGTCTACTCCAGCCGAGACCCTCGCTCGCCAACTACCACAGATGGTTGAAGGTCGGCAGATGGTGTGGAGTCAGATTCGAATTGATAGCCAGGGCTCGAAATGACACAGCCTGAGCAAACCCAATCGGCGAACAGCAGCGAGCGTCAACCATGCAAAGGTCCGCAGCATTGACACCAACTGCATGTCCTTGACTAGATCAGATATTAAAGGTCGTTCCGAAAGACGGCCAAGGTTCTCCATGTTCAAGTCTCGAATCTCTCGACATGCTTGTCTCTCTACCTTCACTCTTCGTATGCTTCAGCGTCGTCGTCGACCAACACGGCAGAATCCAGTCACCCTATTCCAAGTCGTCTCATCATCCTTGCCTCACGACGAGTTCAATCATTCCCACAACCGGGTGTCTGGTCGACATCCGTAAAACTGTCTCTTGCCCTTGGTTTTCTCAAGCCTGAGTGCCACCTTCAAGTGGCTAAAGGGAATGTCTGGCAAAGTCTAGAGACACCGAGCTCCCGAAAGCCTTTCGCATTACCTAGAGTCAGCACTGCCGACTGAAGACGATGAACTTTTGCGTTGAGAGGTTTTGGTTTTCCATTTCCACATCTCTAACGGAAGGTATTTGCCTTCGAGGCAGCTACTAAAGTGTCACGAGAGATTTCTGAGGAGGAACTACCGTATACGGAGTCTGCGAAGGCACCATCGCCTGTTGTTTGCTTGTGTGCGGGTTTGCTGCAAAGAAACTGCCCTCGGCCCCAGCAATCAGGTTGTTTGGCTCTGCAAACCATCGCCACCATGATCATCTCTTCCTTCCTCATTAATAAATACAACGACTCCGTCTCGCCAAAGCTCAAGTCTCGAGGTCGCAGAGCAGACACCAGAATAACCCCCGAAGCCCCATTCAGATAGCACAATCTTTCCAGTCTCCGATTCTCCCCTTTGTCCTGCACATAAAAGTCGACGCTCGTAATATGGAAGAAGAAGAAGCGCTTTGCTCTAAACGCCACCCACGATTGACCATCCAGGTCGACATCAACCGACAGGCGCTCCAGGTCCAGGAACATCACAGTCCGCGGCATCAACAGGAGCGTCAACCCCAACCCACCACCAACGAGCCCGAGATAGGGTCCGAGTCTCAAGAACAAGTACGTGTGGAGGTGTCGGTCCATCCTCGAGCGCAACAGCCAGCTATTACCGCCTCTGCATCATCCCGATCTCCAGCTCTAGCCCTAGCCTCATCACCCACAGACATTGCCTCGACGTCGTCTTCAACCCAACCTCCAGGTAGCAGTCCTAGCACATCCTGCGTGCAGGATCGGACCCTGTGCCAGACCCAGAATCGGGATCAGGATCAGGATCACCCCCGACCAGAGCTAGGCGACTACCGCACCCAAGCGCTCGCACAGTTCGAAGCTGACCTGCGTGCCGTCACCAACGCTCCTGGGCAGGATCACCGGATCCCGACGCGCACAGGGACTGGGATTGGAACGGGAAGTTTTCCTCCGAGACGATGGCCGGGACTGGTCGAGCATACCTACGATGACCGTGACTATGACCATGACAGCGGATATGACAGTGAGCATTGACAGGTCATGCTCAGACCAAGACTACACAGCAAAAAGCCATGAACGAGTACGAGCCGCATGATCAAGGCAGGGGGGCAGTCAGGAGGGTATCTGGATTCATCTATCGTTTTCAACGAGAGCTCGCAGGGATGAAGACAGGACGGGGATGGAGAGGAAGAGGAGAAGGTGGGATTGGATTGGATTGGATTCATACTATGTAGAGCGTTCCGTCTAGGAGCTCGATCTCGCCTTCTATCTGTGCGCATGTATGTTAATTAACCAATCAATAAATCAGTCAATCAACCAATCAATACATACATACATACATACATACATACATACATACATACATACATACATACATACATACATACATACATACATACATACATACATACATACATACGTGCAGGTATACATGTACTAACCGTGTAACGAACCTTGTCTTTAGTTGGATCTGCTTTGAGAGACACACTTACGAATTAACAGTCGGTCGGTAGGGACATTCGAGTCAAAGCCAAAACATCAAATAGGAAGACAGAAGAGAGACAAAGAGAATAGACATTTGGTGGACTCGGTCATCATCGATTAGGAAGCTGTTGTCCACGTAAATACTCCGTACAATTGAATTGCGATAGCCATGTAGGCGCGACCCATCTAGACCTTGAACCATATACCATGAGATACAGGCATGGACAAAGAACACGACGCCGCTTCCGCTCGATAATCCAACGAGCACATCCCATTTTGGCCTCGTTTCATGTCCAGCCCCTTTTCTCACAGTCACGACCCTCTCGGTCTTCGCTGCTGCGCGGGAATTCCAGTCAAACAACTCAATGCACGCAAGAGACAAATTTCGACTTTGCGGTTTCCCCGTTTTCAATAAGCAATAACGCCACGTTCGCCCCGTTCTCGCCAGTCAATCAAGCCCCCGCCCGTACCGTCAGCCCACCCACATTTCGAACGCCCTTGCAGTGTGCAACAACAAAAGCTGGAAAGATGCGCCAACGGAGATTGCTTCCCAAAGTCTTTCTAATGCCAGGTAGTAACGCCGGCGAGAGTGCGCTGCGCTAGGAGGTTGCTGTGTGGTCAGAGGTGTTGGTGGCTTATCGATATGATGGTAATGATGCTGGATGCTAATCTATGTGCGGATATCGTTTTCAATCGTCGCGGTGATGGAGACATGAAAGCATGACCCTTATTCCAGAGGGCTGCCCGGAAAATTTCGTCGTGTACGACTTCCCAGAAAGATCAAGCCGAAAAGAGCTCGCCACCGTGGTCAGGCAAGCAGGTCTGGTGATGGCAAGCTGGCAAGCTACTGTGCAACCTTGGCATCGGGGAGCGACAAGCCACCAGTTCGGCGACTTGCACCGTAGTCCTTGGCCCATTTCCTGGCCAAGATTGATGCTTGTGTCTTTTTAGCCTCGGGTTGACGACAACTTACACTGGGTCTTGGACTTACCCTTGAGGAACTTCTTGGACGCATATTTCTTGAACAGCGCCTCGTGTGCGACTGGGGCCTCAAGATAGCTGATCATGAGGTCGAAAACAGGCAAAATCTCCTCTTCGTTGTAGCCAGCAAACTTGGTCAGTGTCGCGTCCTGTCAACGGTTAGAGAGAGGTCCACGCTCGGCAATTGGAATACATACCCATCCACCACGCTCAAGTATCATGCGAGCAAGGTACATGGCGGCTGCTGCAACATGACTCTGCTTGTATTCCAGGAAGCGGTGGTCCACGAGACTGATCTCCATCAAATACTTTCCCAGTGTGCGGGTCTGAATGTCATAGTTGTCGGCTTTTGAAATTCTTCGCAAGAAATTCATGGGATTTGGATAGCTAAGATCATATTTGAGTGTCGACAAGGTGTACCGCTCAGCACTCAGAACCTCTTCAATTGTGAAACCATCGTCAGCGACGTGGACGAAGTTGCCAACGTGGGGCGAAAGAACTTCTTCGTATTTAGAGGCGATGAACATGGCAGTAATACCAACAAGCTGGAGCTTGTCGAGAGGCACAACCTTTTGCGAGAGGAAGCGATCGACAATGTTGACGGCAAGAAACAAAGTTTCGGGCAGAAGCCTAAATCGGGTGTGCACCTCGATCAACCAGTCGACGAGGATGCCTCTCATCTTCCACTCGAGATCGTCTTGATGATCCATGTAATTCGGGTTAGGCTGCGTGACATTCTCCAGGGCGAAGTAATACTCAAAGATCTCGCGGACGTATTCGGCGCACATGGACGGGTCGTCTAGGTCTTCGGCATCCAGGTCAGCAACGACGTCGTGAATCTCCTCGGTCTGAGCTTGGGCTTCTTCGACGGCCTCCTCTGTGCAAGACTTCTTGCGAGGGGGTTCATCGACATCTGGAGTGACATCTTTCGACGAGGGCGCGGTAGATGTGGAGGCTTGCGTCCTTCTCTTGCCAGTGTTTCCCAGGACGCCAGAGCCACTTCCGGGTTTCTTGAGCTCAGCCGATGCTTTTGGCTTGACATTGTTGTCCTTGACGCCGAGGGCGGCTCTTGAGGAGTTGGTTCGAGAAAGCTTTTGGACGCCGCCAGCGGTTGGTTGAGCGACCTTTGACTGTAGCCCAACTTTGCTTGCCGTTGCCTTCTTCCCGTCCAGTACCACTTCTACACCTTTTGCGGCATTGGTCACGTCTCCCAACGCGCGACGTCTCGTCGCCCCGTTCAGTGTTCCCGTTGCGGATTTCTTGGTTTGCAGGGGCTTCTTCGCGACAGAGGTGGTGTCTTCGGTGCTCGCCAGACCGGCGGCCTTTGCTCGGGTCAGACGGGTTGTTTGTGTCACAGAATTCTCATCGTTCTCGTTATTGACTACTCGTTGGCGAGTACGGGGCTGGTGAGAGGTCAGCAGAGGCTTGAAAAGACGCGTGAAGGACTTATAAGAAGTACCTTCTTGACGGAAAGACTTACGACAGGCATCTTGTTTGCTTGACGCCGTGATGGCGAGGGCAGAGCCAGCACAAGAGGTCACGACCAAGACAGAGCAAAGAACCTGAAATATTCGAGTAACGACCGAGATAGCTGGGTTCTAGACCGCATTAGCAACGATGCATGTGAGGAATTCAATATGATTGGGGAATGACGCACGAGCTTTCCGGGACGTGTCTGGGCGAGTTGCAATCTCGAGATTGAGTGAAGGCGTTCTTCAGGACTGGTCGAGGTGCCGCGTTCTTGGTTGAACTTTGGTCTCAGTAAGATGTGCTGGTGCCTACGTGGTTGTAGGGGCGCGTTGTTGTTGTTGTTGTCTGAGCCAGCGAACAAGAGCGGTACGCGGGACAAGTGAGAGAGGTACGATGGAAGCTGAACAAGGACGGGGGTCAGAGGCAATGGAGTGACAAATAAGATACGGCTCGGAAGACAGAAGAGGAGTTCTCGAAGGACAACATGAGAGGTAGAAGGGGGTGGAGGCGTGAGGCGTTGTCGTGGCCGTGGTACAAGCACAAAGACAGGTACAAGTAAGTTCAAGTGCAAGCTGATGGGTTTGGAGGTGCAGATGTGGCAGAGGTGAGAGGTGCTCGGAGCAGTGCCGGTGGAGCTGCTGTTGTTTTTGCTTGGCAACAGCTGCAAGCTTGGTTGTTGGTTTGGATGGGGCCCGAATTTTGCAGGCGGGCGCTTCTGTGCTCGGACGGCGCGTGTACTGTGGGCTTCGAAGGCGTAACGAGTAGACGTGTAGTAGTGCGGGGTGGAGAGAGAGAGAGAGTCTGGCACGCACCTATTTGACCCTGGGTCCTCTGCGTAACAACAAAAAGTAATGGACCTGTGATGTAGACCTGAGGATGCCGCGATCTACTGTGTGCAAAGTAAAGTCAACAGATGAGATGAAGCCCTGAGGGGCAAATGAAAAGCTCAATGGGACGGCCTGAAGCACGAAGCAAAGACAAGAGAGTTTTGGTGTGTTGTTGATGGGGGAACTGGGCGCTGTGGCTGCTATTACTACTACTTGGTACTAGGCGCTGCACGTAAGTCGCGCCTGGCGTTGTTTATGCCGGAGCCCCCAACAGACGCTTTCGACTCGCTGCTTCTGCTGCCCCGGCAACCACACTGAATCGATGTGAATCGGCCTACTGGAGAAAAGAGCAAAAGCACGAGACCATGCAGGCCATGCTATATCCTATACATCTACACACCTCTGCACACACGAGGACATAGCTAGACAGTGCTCTACGAGTGCAGAGCACTTCCTACATACTCATGCTAGCCTTTCTTGGGCCAGTTTCACCTCTTTTCATGAGTCGCCAACAGTCAAGTCATCCCTCGTCAAGTGATACCACAATTCTATCTCCCGCTCGCAAAGTTGCGTTGAAGCACAGCTTTGACGTTCCCGTCCAAAATCACGGCGCCCGGCACTTCTTTATCGTGAATGAATCTCCCTTGCGTCTCACCTGCCTCCCACTGAGCCAGCATGTCGTTGCTCTCCTTTGGCTTGATATCCGGCCCTGCCGTTCCCACAGTGATATGCGTGATTGCGTTGACACTGCGCCACGAGGGTCCTTCACCACCAGGATAGACGCGTACAACAAATGCCATGATCCGGTCATCCCAGACCACTCTCTCCAACTTGACTCGTGCTTGTCCGAGATTGGGCGTCAGCTGATTCTTGTTCTTGAGATCGTTCGCAGCCAGTGCTTTGCGATATTCGTCCGCGTACATTTCCCACAGTTGCGGATCTTGGGTAGCAGATGCTCGGTGGATTAATGTCACGTGGAATTCATTCTGAATGCGTCGCGATTGTTTCAGCATGCGGTACATGCGGGCTTCTTCTGCCGGAGCGTGCTCGAACATGGAGGTTAGAATGGATTCAATGTTTTTCGTCGGCACCGATATGCTGAAATATTCAAGCTTGCTCGTTAGTTGTTCTAGTGTAAGCGGCTTTTCTTCGTGCCGACTTTGGACAGGCATCTTCTGCCTGTGCGGCTTCTCTCCATTCGTGGGCTTGCCGAAGGAGAGGTCATGCTTGGTCGTGACTTCACTGCCCATGGCATAGTCAATCGCGGCTTGC